CACAGATGGCACAATGGAAGACACAGATGGCACAATGGAAGACACAGATGCAGGTCAATAGTGAGAGACTGGGAGAGGTTAATATCAAGAGAATATTTCAAGGAGATTCACTGTCACTACTACTATTTGTCATTGCAGTGTTTCCTCTCTCAACAATACTGAATAACTCAGGCCATGGTTAACAAACATCTACTCTCCCACCTCCTTTACATGGACGATCTGAAGCTGCATGGAAGAACTCACTTTAAAATAGAATTGCTGCTCAACACTGTCCATATATATAGCCAAGAAATTGCAATGGAATTTGGATTAGACAAATGTGCCGCATTCACTATCAAATAATAAAAAATAGTGAAAACTGAAGGAATCAAGATGAAGATGATTATTACAAATACCTGATTATCATTCAAACTGACAACTTCAAGCACATTGAAGTCAAGAAAAAGATTAGAGAGAGTATGAAGAGGAACTTAAAGTCCAAATTCAATGGAGGAAACACTGATAATAGAGATGATTTAGAAGTAGAACAACAACTAGTGGAGAAAAGGAAGGAAATCAAGGCAATCAACAGCTGGGCAATTCCAAGCAGAACTAAAAGCAATGAATAGGAAGACCAGAAAAATAATGACACAAGACCAAGCCTCAACGACAAATGGATACAAAGCCAGAATTAAGAAGACAGGAACAGACAGTAAGTGCTTCCTATGCAAAGAAGCTGACAAAACAATGGACATTCTGACAAGCTGTTGCAAGAAGATTGCCCAGACTGACTACAAGCAGCAGCACGAAAAAGTAGCAACAAGGGTGAATTGCAAGATCTGCAAGAAATATCATTTGCCTGCAAGCAAGAACTGGCGGGATTATAAAATAGATAAACACATAGAAAATGAAGAGGTTAAATCCCTCTGGGACTTTAGAATTCAAATAGACAGACACCTGCCACATAATATCGGGGACTGTGGATAAGAAAGACAAAAAAGTCTGGCTAGTGGATGTGACAGTGCCTGGAGACAGCAGAATAGAAGAGAAAGAATGGGAGAAGATAACAAAATACAAAGACCTACAAATAGAAATAAAATGACTGTGGCAAAGGCAAGCAAGAGTAGTACCAATAGTAATAGGTGTTTCAGGTGCAATCCCAAAACAACTGGAGCACCACTTGAACATCATTGGCATTGACAAAATGCCATAAGTCAATTGCAAAAGGCAGCTTTACTGGGAGCAACTTCCATCCTGTGACAATATCAATAACACCATCAAACATTCACATCTACCTATTGCAGGTCCTTGGTAAGATTTCAATAGGTAAACAAAAATGCCAAATCCAGTCTGAACATCTGGCTGATTGTGTGATGATCTATAATAATAATGCTCTTCAATGATATCTGTAACAACATCAAGACAATTACCCAGTCTGAAAAGCTGGCTGTCTACAAAGCAAACCAATAATTATAATAAATAATGACTACAACAACCACCCATGAGCTTTATCTTGTCATCGTGGTGGAGGGGGCTTGTGTGCTCTGTTGAAGAGCCAGGTTAAATTTGCTCCAAACCCATTTAACTGTTATGAAAACACATCAAGTGAATTCTATGCTGAATCGAGTATTGCTCGAATCAACAAGACTCGCATTGAATACTCCTGGGTGTTCAGCAAAAAACATACACAAGACTTAGCACCCTCTGCTATGTAACCAGGGCATGGAGGTGACTGGAAGACAAATGAAAAAAAAAGGAAAACATCTGAACATACAAAGAAAATTACTCTGTTATGGAAGCTTATCTGAGCCAACAAAGCCAAGTTCTGGAAGAAGAATCACTTAGATATGGAAATCAATGAACAAAGACTTATGGACCAGAGGCATGCTATTTTGAAGCACAAACTCTTCACTAATGCAGAATTACAAGAGATCACAAGCAGGACATCTTAAGATCAAAACTCAAGTGTAACTGATAATAGAGATGATTTAGAAGTAGAACAACAACTAGTGGAGAAAAGGAAGGAAATCAGACAAGTGGACGAGGAACATGAAGCAAGAATTGGATTAGATCTTGAAGAACCAACAGCTTTAACTGAATTAGCTGAGAAAATTAAAACTCAGATGGAAACAAGGAAACAATTTGCCAAAACTGAATCAAGTTAGTAAGAGAAATTTGGCTAAATTGTTGAAGAATGTGAATGAAGCTGCCCAGATTATTCCACCAGAAACATTAACTCAAATAAACCAGCTAATGTATGCAGCAGCTTATGTTACTATTGAAGAGTTGAGCTTGAAAATTGGAAAGAATAAAGCAATTAAAAAGGGAAAACCAAAGTGGAAAATCTGCCTGGAGTTAAAAAATAAAGAAAATTCAATTGGATTTAAATAATTTGAATTTGAGGCAAGAGAACCTTTAAAAAGTCAGAATCAGCTGACAACAAGATGTGTCCTGGAAAACAAGGAAATTGCAGTTGTGGTTGAAGAGCTGAAACAAAGAGTTGTGAATATTGCAGAGAAAATAAAGCAATAGGATAGCCGAATAATGCCATTTCAGCAAAATTCACTTACAAACTTATTTTACACATACAAAACTATCTTAAAAATTTCTAACAATACATATATTAAATTTATAAAAATCCATCCTAACTAATTAAGTCATTAAATTTAAATGACTCCCTCTAGAATATCTTCATTGAATGGAAACTTTTTCTTCTTAGGGATGTTTATCCAGTCTGTTTTCTTCAAAAAGTTCTCAGATATAGATAGATAGATAGATAGATAGATAGATAGATAGATAGATAGATAGATAGATAGATAGATAGATAGATAGATAGATAGATAGATAGA